AGTGGGCTGCTGAGTCAGCAGAGCAGAGCAAGCAGAGGGCAGGACAACAATATGCATATGAGCCCACACGGATGTGCTTATGCACATGTGTGAACCTGGGCTCCATGAAGCAGGAGAGGGGAGGGAGGAAGGAAAGAGGTAAAAGTTGGGTGCTCTCTTGCTGCTGCTTATTCTCCTCATCAAAGCAGCTTCCATCACCTCGTCATATTGATGAAGAACATAAAAGTTAAGTGACTTGCCCCAGTTGCACAGCTGATCAGCAATGGAACCATATTTAATGCTGGGGTCTGTGATGGGCTCCAAGATGCCAAGGATGTCAAATGTCAGAGATGGGAGCAGGGGAGGAGTTAAAAGGGAGCTCAGGCTGACAGGCTAAGCCGGTGGCAAGATGGATGCAGTAAGACATGAGGTACAATACAGGCGCCCTAATCTGAAAGAGAAGGGTCCCCAGGGCCTGCCCAGCTGCAGAGAGGCCAGAAGAAGGAGGCATCTCAAGATCCTGACCTTCCTGCTCATTAATCCAGGTACACATGCTACAAGAAAATAGAAGTCAAATTGAGACCATGGAGTTAAAACAAGCTAGCTGGCCTAGCCTGCCTGCTAGCTGGAGGACAAAAATGTCCAGGATGCATCTGGGGTGATTCACAGGAAGAAGGTGGGACCTAGGGATCTAGACAGGACTGTGGGGGATAGAATCCTCATCCAATGGATTCTAGAAGTGGGCAGCTTTGAACTTGGATATTCCTGCAGGGCAAAAGGGCAGTCTGGCTCTGTGGGGAGAGAAAACAGGGTATAAGGCAGGGCCCACCCTGAATTGGCCATTGTGGGCAGCAAGAGCCAGGTGTGTAGCAGAGGAAGGAAAAGGGGTAGACCCAGCTAGGGTAAGGGAATTCCTGGAGGATAGCAAGGATCCAGGCCATGACTCTTCTCACAAATGCCAGCTTGTGACCTTGTTTGTGAACATTACAATAGCTGGAGGCACAGCAGCCATTTTGAGACCATGAGAACAAGTGCTAAGAATGCCAGAGCTGAAGTTATATGAAACCTGGATCACTGACAACTTACTTGGGTCTCCATCACTCCCACTGGCACCACATGTGGGTTCAATCACACAGTAATCAGGTTGCTGGCTTGAGCTGCCAAATTCAGTCCCTAGCTGACATAGCATAAAATAATGCTGAATAATTTTATTAGAGAGTTACTCTCAATTTAATTCTTTTCTGTGCTTCTTATTATATCAAAAGTCTTAGATCGGGGCTGGTAAGTCTTGAACACCTCTGTATACTTGCTGTTCTCCATTTTTAATAAAGCGATACAGGCCTTGGGCTCTGAGTCTCCCCTGGGCTACAGCATCCAACTAGAATTTAATAACATTGCTTTGTTTCCAGTGAATTTATTTTTATGATTATGAATTCTATTTATGGCAAAGGAGGCTTGTTTTCCATTTGTAATAGTGCCATAAAACTTCCCTTTTAAATAAATGTATTTAAGGTGTTTTTTTTTGTGGTTTTTTTTTTTTTTTTTTTTTTTAGTGAATTTACTTAGAGAAGAAACACTAAGAACACAGTGAGAGGGAACATGGGGCATGGGGGTATGTAGGTGGCTACAGCCCCAACCCTGCACTGTGCTGCTCGGAACAGTCTGCCCTTGGCATGGAGGTTGGGGGCGGGGTGGGGCGGGAGATTAAGGCCAGCCTTCCATGCATGCTACGGCCTGAGCCTCCTTCATCTGTCCAGCCTAAAGCAATGGTGTGGATGGCTGGAACCCTGTGCTGGAAATTCCTGGAAGGTGAGGCCTACAGTCATGGGCTGAGCAATCAGTGATAAGCTGTGAGCAGGGATTTGAAGCTGTGCTAGTAACCAAGCCACTAACTCAAAGTCCCAGGCTCCTTCCAGCCTGTGTGAGGCCCAACTTCAAAAGTGGGGGCTCCAGGAGCCAGTGTGACCTTTTGCTAATTAGCTCAGGCTGTTGGCTCTGTAGCCGCCAGCTGATCTCTGGACAGCAGCTCTAACTCTAGTCACAGCCTGTCACCGTCAGCAGATAAATAACCCAGCTCCTTGGAGAGGTAGGGGAGGGGAGCCTGAGCAAGCTGAGGAAAGGGAAGAGGTGGGCTGAGATGGTTTGCTGGGTGGCCCTGGGCAAGTCAGCAGCATGCCAACCCAACTCTGCCGGGGAAAGTGTCATCCCCATTTATTTTCATTTTATTTTAAACTTTTTAAAAGATTTATTTATTCATGCATACAGAACTGGGGTACAGGCCAGCGGTGCAGGGGGTGAGAGGATTTACCAGAAACAGAGTGGGGAGCAGAAGTGGCAGACTGATGAAGTACACTGCTGAGGGGAGCAGCGGGCAGAACAGAAGTGGTCTGCTGCGCCATGTGGGTCACCTCTGGGGCTGGAGATCGAACTCACACTGAAGAGGCTGTGATAGCTTGCAGTGCTATGTCCTAACCAGTTGTACCACCAGGGAGGGCCCAATTCCCATTTCTTAAAGAAAGAAACTAAAGTATAGGGGGAGAGGTGGATTGGGTTGGATTTTATATGTAGTGCTTCTGCTTCCATTAAAAGTCTCAGATCTGGGTTGCTAACTCCCAGGCCTCTCTCTCTCTAAAACGCCTCCCATGGCTCTCAGAGGCCAGGTGGCTGTGACTCTGTCCAGGGTGCTGAACACACTGTGGCCAAGGACTAGTCCGGCAGGTCACCTGGGGTCAGCAAAAGCAACTTCTAGGGACAAGACCTCAGAAACAGGAAACGGAGGAGGAGGGAAGCAGGAACAGCGTGAAGAAAGTTCAACTCACTGACAAAATGTTCTATTTGGAAGAAATCTTGAAAACAATGCACCCAGCCCCCAAATTCCTCAAGAAGGCCTAGTGCAATAGACAAGCTCCAGCACCAGGCCCTGTGGGAGCCACAGCCATCTGCTATGCCACCTGCCTTCTTAGGTAGGCCTGGGCTGGAAACATCCCATACATTCATTCAACAAACCTTTATTCAGCATCTGTCACCTGTCAGGCTCAGGAAGCTGACAGAGTGGAACACGCAGCCTTGGCTTTAGTGAAAGAAAAGAGTCAAGTTGCATGGGCCACGTGACAGCTGGAGGCAGGATGGGAATGGGGGCCAAGAGAACAGCCCCTAGACTACTCTGACCCCGGTCAAGTTCAGATGAGCCTGAACCTAACATTGACTGGCCAGGACAAGTATGTCTAGAAGGAAGGGGAGAACTAAGGCCTATTGAACAGCAAAGTATCAGAGACTTTGCAAGCACCTGCTTCATGCTCCGAGGGAGACAAACCTTCCAGTATTTCTTTAGCACGCCTGTCGCCCCAGGTTACTGTCCCCACTTGACAGATTAAAAAAAAAAAAAGGTCAAACATGGTGACTTTTCCAGTATCTCACATCCAAAATTCAGTAGAATATGATCTGTCTAACACCAAAGCCATTCCAAAGCCAGGCGGGCCTACGAGAGTGTTCCAGGCTAAGGTCCCACAATGAGTAAAGGCACAGAGGTAGAAGCCTGGGGCTGTGGCCAGGAGTCTGCCAAGGCCCAGCTCCAGCTCTCCTGCACTGTCCTGCATGCTCTTGGTTGGCCATGGTCAGCACCAGCGAGTCAGCCCAGTTGTCCATGCTCCACCAAGACTTTTGAGACATCCTGCCCCTCACCAGTTCCCGCTCCACAGCCTGCTTTCCTCACCACACCGGCGAATTCCACCTCCCTATTCCAGCGACACGTGTGCACCTGCCCACCTCAGGGGTTCTGCCCTTGCTGGTCCCTCTGCCCAGAACCTCATCTTCTCATCTTCTCCTCATCTTCTCATGTGGGCCCTTCTCCATCCTTAAGCCTCCCCTCCACAGCTCCACCTAGGCAGTGAGGTGCCATCTCACCAACAGAAAAAGCATGCCTTTGGATGTTCTAGGAGGGTCACATGTTCTGCTATGTGATGAAAAGCACCTTGTATATCCCACCTGCTTTGCTCTCATAGTCCATAAGTCTGCCGGCCCTCTTAGATAACCTCAGTCTATAGATTCTCTAATGCCTGAACATAGCAGTACTTCACTGCGAAAACCCAAACCCTAAAAATCCAGGCTTTCCAAATGACATTCACTTACCAATAGCACCTCTCGTTAGTCAGGGAGACATTATAACCCAGCTCTGTAGACCAGGAAACTCCTAAACAATAGGATCTGGTTGTGCTAAGTGTGCTGACTCAGGGCCCCAAAACTAGGTACAGGACCGAGGCCTGGAGAAATCCACAGTACAGTTGACAAAAAAGGCACACTGCAACTTCCCAAAGTGCTGAAGGAAAACTTGTCCAGCTACAGCTACAGGCCAGCTGGAGGCAAGGCTCCTGCAGACACAGCACAGCAGGGTCATTGAACACTGGTGCCCCTGGGATGGTGGCTCCCCACTTCGGTCCCTCCAGGCACTCCATTCAGCACTTCAGGTAACTTTCCTGTTACCTGAGTGAGTGGCTATTAACATGCCACATTGTACATACCGTGGCTTTACATGCTAATATACGGAGTGGCATCCATTCCCATGATGGGGTGATGAAACCTCTCTACCCCACAAGGCTACCCCGACTCATCAGGGGAGCAGATTGGATGGGCCCTGAGCCCCCACACCTCCAAGTTGCTCTTGTCAAGCCCTTCAGCCTTTGCCCATTCTGTCAGATGGGCACTGGTTCCAGACAGGACTCCATTCCTAAGGGCCTTTGTCCTCGCAGGATGGCTGGATCTGCTGCACCTCCTCCCCGGGCTGCTGGTCACTGGTCACTTGAGCCAAGTCCAGCTCAAGCCATTCTGCCATAGCCCAGGGTGGGGGCCCAGGGTTTTGGGATAGGTGATGGGTGGAAGTTTCAAGACACCAGGCATCCACATCCCCCTGTCCCCTAGATCTCGGTGAGAGGCAGAGCAAACAGACAGGCTGTCCCGTGATGCCAGCACACCTCCCCCCAGGCCACTATGAAGTAGTGAGGCCAAGGAGCAAGAGCACCCCTTACCTTGGGTCAGGGGCCGCCGATGACTGGGCACATCTGAGAAATACTGGCTGGTGGGATCCTCCCCGTGGGGGTCACGGACATCTCTCACTTCAAGGTGCAGAGCAAGAGCACAGGTCCAGGAGTGCAGGCCAAACAGACACTGAGGCAGCTGCCACTGCAGGGAGACCAGAGAGGAGGTGGTGAGGAGCTTCTGGGGCCATGCCGCGCTGCGTCTGAGCCTGCCGTCCATGCACGAGCCAGTACGGGCATGCGGGCAAAGCCAGGAGAGGAGCTGGCAGAGGCAGGACAGCACCGGAAGCAGAGCCTAGAGGGCTGCTGGTCACTGGTCACTTGAGCCAAGTCCAGCTCAAGCCATTCTGCCGTAGCCCAGGGTGGGGGCCCAGGGTTCTGGGATAGGTGATGGGTGGAAGTTTCAAGACACCAGGCATCCACATCCCCCTGTCCCCTGGATCTCGGTGAGAGGCAGAGCAAACAGACAGGCTGGCTAAGCAAAGACCCCGAGCAGGTTACCCGAACAGTTCCCCCCAGGCGGGGCCAATCCCCTGCAGCTACTCTCCCCCCACTGAGACTCCAGATCAGGCAGAGCTCACATCAGGAAGGAGAGGCCTCAGGCCCATGGCCCAGTTCTGATGTAATGAGTATGTAACCTCGGGCAAGTCAATTTACAACTCAAGTCTCCTCTCCCCACAGCTCCAATCTATCATTCATTCGTTTATTCATTCACTGGATCTACCCCACAAACCCTGGCACTGGGTCTGTGCTAAGGGTGGTCCGTGCATCATCATCTCACATCACCCCCATGCACTGCAAGCAGACAGTTGACTCCCAATTTGCAGATAGGGAACTGAAGAGGGTGCACACAGCTGAGCTGCAGAACCAAGACATGTTTGGACAAAGCCTGGTATCATGAAGCCACTCCCTCTGCTGTGACTGAAGGGTCACAGTCCACACCCCAGGGCAGCAGAAGTGTCTCAGGGTGGGGGAGCCTATCTCCGGAACTACAGGCGTTCCAGAAGCAACAGTGTGAGAGGACAGGTACTCTGGTACACCTGCCCCAGGAGACCATGCAGTGGGCCTCAGGAGGCCTGGGTAGGTGCCAGAAAGGGTGTCCCGTCTGTCTGCCTGCCTGTGCCCCGTCTGAACAGCATGCTCCCCCCCCCCACCACCAGGCCTGGAGTGGAAATTGAAAGGAACCTGTTGTGCACGGAAGTCTGTGTGTGTGCAAATAGATGAGTGAGTGGCATGTAATTACCTAAAATTGTTGGTTAGAAGCGGATGTAAATAACCAAAAAATATGTGGGGAAGTGGGGGGAATGCTCATCAATTAGAGCTAATTACTTAACAGCTAATTGAAATAATAATGGTCTGTATTTGAATATGCGAATGAGGCCTAACCTGTCTTAGAAAAGGTGATTGGAATGAAAAGGTACTTGGCTGCCCAGAGGCTCCCAGCCTGGCCCTGAGGAGGCTTCCAGGCTGAGGCACCGCACCAGGGACCAGGACGCCAAACTCTTCCCCCTGGCCCAGGACACAGTCACACCCCACCACTGCCCAGCCAGTGCTGTCTCCCCTCACCATCCAGCTCCAGGGGCCCCTCTGGTCACCCTTGCTGCCTGGGTCAGGAGAGAGGCTGTCTGAGCCAGCGACAGATGCTCTCCTAGCCAAGTCCCAGAAGAGAAGCAGGACCTCACGCTTATTGAGTGCCCACTGTACACCCCCCAGCCTTGCTAAGAGTCCCACGTTCCAGATAGGGAGCAGAGCTCGGGACCACACGGCACACCTGCCGTCTCAGCCAGGTGGGTGGGGGGCAAAACTGGCACACTGGGCATTAGTGGCTCCCAGACTTTTAGCCAAGCAGTCCAGGACCAAAACAAGCCCAGCGCCACCACACGTGCGAGCAGAAGCTGGGGAGCTCTGTGGTCCCGCCAGGTCCAGAGTGGGGTCTAGGTTCTCACTCCAGACAGCACCCACTGGGGAGCTTTTCACTCTCTATCAGCATCACCCACAGACCTGCACAACCAAGTCACAGACACTCACATGTGCACACACATAGAGCCACAGGTGCCCACACAATTGCACACAGCAAGCCACATGTGTGCAGGTCCCACACATAGGCACAAAAACACGACACACATGTGCATGCTCACATGCATGCGAGCCACCCAGACACCAGGACCCACGCTCCCCTCCACGCAGGCGCACTCAGGCACTCCTGAGCATGGATATCCTGCATGCCCCCAGCCAGTCGGAGCTTGAATGCATCACAGAGCCGGTCCCTGAGCAGCTGACCGCGTAACAGGGTGATCCCCAGGAAAAGGGGAGGTTCCAGGCACCCCGCCCCACGCAAGGCAAGGTATAGCTAAGCATGGGAGAGAAAAGCTAGAGAGGAGAGTGGAGAAGGAAGGCAAGTTGGAGAGACAGAAGAAGACCTGGAGGTGGCTCAGGGAGCAGAGATGTGTGAAGAAGCTGCGCTTGCATCTCAGCCCTGGACTGATGAGAGGCTTTAATTGTATTAAAGTTCCTTTCCATTAAAAGTCTATATGTTTTGTCTTGATGCAGTGAATGGCAGAACCTCTTTAGAGCAGGCAGGCTTGGGATCGTCTCCCTGCCCTCTAACAACCACACAGGGGCCACCAGATAGGGCCTGGAGCCTGAGGCCACCTGCCTCTAGATAATACCTTTTTCTTTCCCCAAACATCCCTTTCCCCAGAGCATCACTTAGGAACCACCCTGGTGAGTCACCAGCCCCACTGACCAGCAGGCCAGGGGGGCCGTTCTGGCCTGTGCTCCTTATAGGAATCAACTTGATCAAGTAACTGTAGGATGACACTTGTACTGCTGCTGGAAATCCATGGATCTGAACTGCAGGCTCACCATGATTGCACAGGTCTGTGGGGAACGGTGTTCCGGCGACACAGGTGACGTGAAATACGGGGAGCCCTTGCCTTGCGGGAGGCATGGCACAGACAGCTCCATAAATTCTGGCTGAGCAGCCAGAGCTGCTTTGAAAGCAGGCAGATGATCTGTTCTTCCCAGGGGTGCAGCCAGGCACCAGGAGCTCCCTGGTGACCTCAATAAACCAAGGAAAGTCATGCCTCAGTTTTACCCTGCATAGAACAAGATGGTGACCACCAGACTTGTCTGAACCCGCCTGGAAGGCTTCAGCAACCACCTGGGCTGAGGGGCTTAAAGAAAAGGACCTGCCCTGGAAAGTGTACACACACAGTTGTTGATGTTTGGAGATCATCAGGACCCCCAAAGACCATCCATAGAATCTGTGTACCCATTTTACAGATGAAACACACCTGTGCAGGAATTTCAAAGATGGGAAACTGAGGACCAGTAACACCAATGGAATATCACAGGGCCAGCTAACGGTGGGGTTCCACCATGGACAGGTACAAGGAGAATCCAAGAGGCAAGAAACTGGACCAGATCACTGGGGGTGGGGAGCTGTGAAACCCCCCTTCTAATATACTCTTTGTGCAGAGTCAGGAGGGAAGCTCTACACGTCACCCTCATTCCACCCACATCCACCCCACCTCACCCCACCCTCTCATCTCATCACCCTTATGCCAGCCCAGTCCTTCCAGGTCCCCCAAGCGAGGGAAGGCAGCAGGTATAAGGGGTGCACTCCCCAGCCCCTGAGGTGGAGATGGGAGGGGCCTTTCCCTTCCAGGAGGGAACAACTCATCAACTTGCAAAAGTCTGGGTGACAGGGATGGGAAAATGAAAGCTCCCAAACTTGACATTTGCATTTCAAACACTTATATCAGCAAAACAAATAACAGTAATTATACCATTTGCATATTTTGTGCCATGATTGTTCAGCTAGGTAGGGAGGAGGGGCCCTTGCTGATGCCAGCAGCCCAGCCTCCCCACACAGCTGTACCACCTCTCAGACCTGGGATTGAGGGGGGACCCCGGGAGCTACAAGGTACCTGCCTCCTATCTGGCTGACACCTCTGCCTAGACCTGGCCTCACTATGAAGAGTTGGGCCACCCATTTGTGAAGTGGGGAGCGGTAGGTATGCTCCCTGCCCTGCTAACCTCAGGCGGAGCCACTGGCTCCTCTGGCTTGGACCTTGTCCCCTCCCCCAACATGTGGCTACCCCAAGACCTTGGTATACCACCAAGACCTATATACCACCCCCACAACCCCCACCCCACCCTTGAAGGCTTCCTCTTCCAGAGCTACCACCACTCTCTCATCATTCAAGTCCAGTTCCAACATCCTACTGATCATCCTGATGAAGTTGGTCTGGGTCCAAAGCCCAGATCTGTCAGACCCAAGCTGGCCTTCAGCTCTGGTGGGCAGGGCTAAGCCTCACTGTGGGCACAAGCCACTACATAGCATACAATGGGCCCTCAACAAATGGAGGTGCTCCCACTCAATTCCCCAGCCTTTAAAAAAAAATATTTATTTATGCATACAGAACTGGGGTACAGGCCAGAGGTGCAGGGGCGGTGAGCGGACTGATGAAGTACACTGCTGAGGAGAGCAGCAGGTGGTCAGGAGAGGCCTGCTGGGCCATGTGGGTCACATGACCTCCAGGGGGGGAATTTCGAACTCATGCTGAAGTGGCTTTAGCTTCTTAGTGCTGTGTTTACCCACTGCACCTCCTGGGAGGCCCCTCCCCCCTTCACGTCCTCCCCCCCAAGCATTTGCCTACATTTACTGTGCACTGGAGGGCTGTGGGAAGGCCGTAGCCCCGCACTGATGCTGGAAGGGGCATCCTCCAACTCAGAGAGGAACTACAGGTAGAGTGGGGTAGGAATGGGTAGAAGGGGCAGGAGGGCTGGCCTATCCCCAGCTCTCCCAAGTCACTGCTTGGAATCTCAAAAGAACCCCTCCCCTGTTGCAAGAGTGGGTGGGGCCTTATGGAGGACAAGGGGGAACTCATAGGGGTTTGGAGCTCATTTAGGCCCCTGGATAGAAGGTTTCCATCCCTCTAGAGTCCTACTTCACTCCTCAGCACACAGGTGGGAGAGGGCGGTGGGTGTTAGCAACAGACCTTCCTGGAAAGGATCCAGCAGGTCCTTATCACCCATGGGGTTCAGCCCAGGGGGCCGGTCCCATCCCCAGGCCTGGATGACACCAGTAGGCAAGTGCTGACCCCTGAGCACAGGGGAATGCTCACTGCTGCTCTGGCG